ACACGCACTATTGGACACGCATTAGTCCCAGTCTACAATAGAGATTTAAGCCCTAAGCCTTAAGAAATTGACTAATCACAGTCGCGCATTCTACTCATACTTGACCGTGATTGGCCAATTTCTTAAAGCTTAGGGCTTAAATCATCTATTGTAGACTGGGACTTATTGGACACCGCATTATCGGACACAAGCATTATTGGACACCGCATTATTGGACACCGCATTATTGGACACCGCATTATTGGACACCGCATTTTTGGACACCGCATTTTTGGACACCGCATTATTGAACACAAGCATTGCAAGATTGGACACTGCATTGGGATTGTCCCGATTGCGCACATAACCGATCGGACACGGCAATATTTCCCGATCGGACACAGGCTCAATCGGACACGGACTCGACCGGACACAGGCCCGATCGGACACAGGCCCGATTGGACACATCCCAGGTACCCAGGTAGAACATAAAACTCATTATGACATCATTATGACATCACTTCAAAAATCATAATGATCTCATTTGATACATTTTTGGCTACATTTTGGTGACTTATTTATGCTATCATAGTAATTTTAATATGACCTCCAAAAAGAAGAATATTATCTCAAATTGATTGATACACGAAATTTATTTGCATTATACATATTATTAGCGAGTATACATATTATTATTATAAATAACTAATAATAAACATTATTGCACACAAAATGTAGTACTTTAAGAGATCATGTGTTAATAATGTAAAAATTAAAATAAAATATTTATTTTTAATGGGAAAGCAACTTGAAAAAACTGCGCGTGCATAACAGAAAATGATTTTCAAAAAATAGAAGTAGTTCAAAATTGAAATTCTGACAGTTATATTAGAATAATATAAGTACATCATATTAATATAAAAATTAACAAATTCTTCTCTAATTATCTCTTTTAACCCTCTTTTAACTATAACGTAAAAGTACCAATATGTTTGAATATGTACTTAAAATCTATGATTCTTTGTGTCCTCTTTAAATCATTTTTCAATCATTTTTGTTTGGGTAACTTTTAAGTGATGAATTAAATCATGATGACGTCATTATGACGTCATTATGAGTTTTATGTTCTACCTGGGATATTTTGTATCGGGTTTGCGTATTTCTGTAAAGCACAATATTCTTGTGGGCGTATGGACTTACAAATGATGGAAAATTATCTGCTTTACAGAACAGTTAACCCCGGTTAAATATATATAAATATCCCGACCCATCTAGAGTCACAGTTTGCCTTAAATTTCATGTTATAAACACTTGAAAATCCATTAGAGTGTCCGATCGAGTCCGTGTCCGATCGGGCCTGTGTCCGATGGAGCCTGTGTCCGATCGGGAAATATTGCCGTGTCCGATCGGTTATGTGCGCAATCGAGACAACCTCAATGCAGTGTCCAATCTTGCAATGCTTGTGTTCAATAATGCGGTGTCCAATAATGCGGTGTCCAATAATGCGGTGTCCGAAAATGCAGTGTCCAAACTTGCAATGCTTGTGTCCAATAATGCGGTGTACAAAAATGCGGTGTCCAAAAATGCAGTGTCCAATAATGCGGTGCCCAATAATACGGTGTCCAATAATGCGGTGTCCAATAATGCGGTGTCCAATAATGCTTGTGTCCGATAATGCGGTGTCCAATAATGCTTGTGTTCAATAATGCGGTGTCCAATGATTTCGGTGTCCATGATTGCGGACCCATTTGATGGCGTCCACCGTGGATCTGGCCTCTCTAAAACCGAATTGTCGGTTCGACAGTCCAGGCCTTCCTTCGTCTTCGAGGCTCCGGACGAGACGGGAGGCGACGACTCTCTCAAAGATTTTTCCCGCCTCGTCCAGGAGACAGATTGGCCTGTACGAGGCCGGCATGTCCGGTGGTTTTCCCGCTTTGGGGAGCAGGATCAGTTTTGCCTCCTCCCAGGTTTTAGGGAATTTGCCCAGTCTGAGGCACGCGTTCATTGTTTTGCGTAACCTGTCCGCTATTACCCCCATGGCTGCCTTCCACGCCATCCCTGGCACTCCGTCTGGACCTGGCGCCTTTCCGGCTTTGAGCTTTTTAACAGCTCTCGCCAGTTCAGAGTCAGAGACTTCCAGCTCCTCGTCCCACACCTCTTCCTGCTCCGGATGCTCTTCCAGCGGGGTATACGTCTGTTCAGCCGTCGGGAACAGCGTTTCCACCACCTCGTTCAGAAACCCGGATCGAGCGTTTCCGTTGTCGGGGGCGCCCCTTTGCTAAGCCTGTCCATGACGAGTTTATAGGGACGCCCCCATGACTTAAGCGTAACCTTTTTTTTGTTTACCCGGTGGAAATCCTCATGGACCGTCACCCGCCCCCCTTGGTGAGAGGGACGGGTGGTGTGTGGGACTCGTCTCCCTGGCACTTGGGCAATTGACAACCCAAGGTCAGTGTGCAATGGAGACGCCTACCGCACTAAAACCACCGGGGGTGGACTTCTCTGCGCCATGTTGAGCCGGCCGGGGACTGCTACGCATTTCCTTTCTGGCCGGCTCAGCGCCACGCGCCTGTTGCTGGCACGTTCCTCTTTGTCTTGGACTGCACCCTTCTGTAGGGCGCGCTTCTTGCGCCTTTGTGCGTGCGCAGCGGCGGGGGTGCCATCAGGCCCCTCGCCGCTCCCCCTAGTTACTGATGGGGGAAGGGCGGGTCGTGGGTCTCCAGCCCACGCCCGCCCGCCAGGGGTCCCTGAGGACTTCCCGGCAAAAGCTCCTTTTAGTCGCCTCTTACGACAGGCAGGAGATACCCCAGGCCTATTCTTGAGGCGGGCCCTGGACGCCTTGCATAAACCCCCCAAACCCTCGCTGTTCGCCTCTTGGAGGCTTTATTAAGCCGGGTGCCTTCAAGAAGGCAGGCCGACTTTTTCTCCTCTCCCCCTTTTTCCCCACGGGATAAGCGTCCCGGGTGAGAGGGGGCGTGGGGGGGAAGGTTAACCTTAAACGGTCCGCCTCTCCTCCAGGCTTGTCTCATGCCTTTACCTTCTCCGCCCTCCCTGAAGGTAGGGCCCTCTCAAATGGGCTGCTCGGCCGCGCCGTCCACGCGCGCCTCTTCTAGCCCCTCCATTTCCTCCTCTATGCGAGCCCAGAGGGGGGTCCGCCTCCCCCCTTCTTACTCGCTCTGCCTCCTCCTTCTGTGACATTACGCGTTCACAGAAGGAGGAGAACGCCTCCCAGGCTTCCTCTCCCCCGGTGATGATGGCCTCTACCACCGCCCGTAGGGAGAGGTCACCCCCTATTACGTCAGTGAGGACCCGGCGCTCGTTCGCCCACCCCGGACAGACTTCCAGGCAGTGTTGCCGACTTCGCATCTTTGCACGGCAGTCGAGCGCGTGGAGGGCGTAGGGTGGGGGTAGCGTCGGACGCGAAGAAGAGCGCGGACATATCTGCTGTCTCTTTCTCTCCACGCCGTGACGCTAGAAGAGCGCGGACATATCTGTTGTCTCTTTCTCTCTACACCGTGACGATGGAAAGAGAAAGAGACAGCAGATATGTCCGCGCTCTTCCATCGTCACAGTGTAGAGAGAAAGAGACAACAGATATGTCCGCGCTCTTCTTCGCGTCCGACGTAAGCCGAGCGCCGAGCGCTACCCCCACTCTACTCCCTCCACGCGCTCGACTGCCGTGCAAAGATGCGAAGTCGGCAACACTGCTTCCAGGGTGTGCTGCGCCGAGTCCTCCGCCTCCTCGCAGTGGTGGCATTGCGTGGTCCTCTCACGCCCGATTCTGTGCAGGTACCCACCGAAGCATCCATGCCCGGTGAGTACCTGCGTCGTCCTGAAGGACGCCCGTGCCCAGGGACGGTCCAGCCACTCCTCTAGGCGAGGGAGGATGGCCTGGAGCGTGCGCTGGCCTGCGCGGCTGGGGTCCTCCAGCCAGGTCCGCCACTCCTCCCTCGCCTCCCTCTTTACCTGGAGGCTGAGGAGCCTCCTCACCCTCGGCGTGATTTTGGCTCCCCCCGCTTTGAGATCCGCGGCGCGGTCGTACATGCGTGTATACGCCGCCGCCATGATCTCCACGGGGGGCATGCCTGCCAGTAACGTGGCCGCCGCGTGGGAGACTGTACGGTACCCCCTGATTGCCCTTATGGCCATGCGGCGCTGCGTCTGCCTAAGTTGAGCAGTCGCCGCTCTATTGCCATTTAGGGCAGGTGACCAAACGGGGGCACCGTACAGGGCGATCGAGTTTGCCACGTTGGCGTACAGTCGCCTCACCCTCCCACGCGGCCCCCCCCCCCCAGGTTGGGCATTAGCCGCGAGAGTGCGTTCGCGGCACCGTCCAACCTGGGCGCCAGCCTCTTGAGGTGCTCCTCGAACCTCCACTTGCCGTCTATGTGGAGGCCCAGATATTTTATCTGGGCCCCCACTCGGACACGGACGTCCTCCACCACGATTGACTAAAGCGTAACCTAATCTAACCTAACTTAACTTAACCTAGAAGAAGTAACATCGTAAGGCTGATGGTAGAGAACAATCTGTAAACGCTTAAGACTGTCTCAGTCGTAGATGTAGAGCAAGGCAGAGAGAAACGTAAGTCGTATACAATAGCCTTTCACGACTTGCGTTTCTCTCTGCCTTGCCCTACGTCTACGACTGAGACAGTCTTAAGCGTTTACGGATTGTTCTCTGCCATCAGCCTAATACTGCTGGTATAATTAATTTTCCTTTTAGGTGACACTCCGTCATGGATGAATTGCCTGATGATTGGTTCTTGCTGTTAATTTCCCGCCGAATCCAAGTGTATGAACTAATCATTGCTTTCCAATTACGACACAAGTCGACACAGTAAAACATATCTGAACTATGACAGCAAGAACCAATTATCAGGCAATATTGTATAACACAGTTTTCTGTAAATGGAAAGCATACGTAAACTTAGCAGATAACATTTTGTATTTTTTACTATTGCAATCGTTTGGGCAGAAACATATTCTCATAGTTTAGAAAATAATAGTTTATTTTTAATTAATAGAAATTAGTTGAGCGTATTGTTAACAAGCATAATTTTATAAAAATCCTTTTTTATTTTAATGAATGTGAAACCCTTTGGAAAACATGCTGTAATATTTTTAACGTTTGATTTTATTATCGTGACACTTCTTCCCATTTGGACTATGACTGAAAAACAAAACTATGATTTTTTACTTCATTACTTTTTATATTATACAGGGTGAGGCATTTAAAA